TGTTAATTTAGCTTATTTTTTGCGGTGTGGGCATTGCCTGGGGTTGTTTTGGGGGTATTTTTAGTTTACTGTTTCCTACTGCCTTGGTGGGGACATGTGGGGGACCCTCCGTCTGGGGCCCTACGTCTCCGACCGCAGTTTGTGCGTCTCTTACAGTGCCCTAGGGCTCTAGGGTGAATCTATCATAGGACTGTCGCCCCCACCAATTAAACCCCCGCGTCTTGCTTTAATTAGCCCTTTTAACGATCTTTTTACGGACGGCTCGGCGACGGGGACACTGCTCGGAATTGAATTTCCTCGAAGGCGTCTGATGTTTACCCGGCGCATACATTTTCGGCCCTTTCCGAGAAGTGTCTGCTCTTTGACAGTGTCTGTGCCCTTATGCCTGCCCTACAGTGTGGGCGTGGCGGTGCGTGGGGGTGGCAACCATGCAGGCAGCCATGCAGGCAGCAGGCGTCGAAAATGAGGAAATGCCGTCCAGCAAGTAGCTGTGCGTGGCAGGGGCCTGGGGGACCGTTCGTAAACCACGTGTCTCGTTTTGAGCTCCAGAGTCGCTAAATGGGACTCTGGAGCTCAAAACGCGTCTCAAACCGCCTCCACCGGTCTTCTGGCCCACTGTGCGCCATGGAGTACCACCACTGTCACTGGCTGGGTGTTTCACAGCGCGGATCGTTCTCACCGACAGTGTTTATCTCGATGCGTCGGTAATCGAACCCGCGCCAAGTCACTCCCAGGCGTGCGTTTACGAGAGCTTTGTTGGCAAAGCCTTGCTGCGCCAGGGCAGCACGGCCGTGCGAAATCAGGCAGATCACGTGGCGTTTCGCAAACAAACCTCGCGCTGACTTGATTACCCAGTCGGGGAATCGTTGTCACACTTTGCGACGTGTTTGTTGCAGGGTGCCCCAGTGCCCCGTGCAGTTTGGGTGCAACGCCTCAATTTGTTGTCTAGCTGCTCCTGGGTGGCGTGCCAGTGTGCCAGTAAAGCACAGTGAGCAGGCTTCCAGGCCTGCAGGCCTCCAGGCAGGTGCCGTCTGCCCCAGACGCGTCCAGACGCCCAGGCAGCTGCAGCCAGAAGCAGCAGGGCTGTCAGCCAGTTGGCTGCTGAAAGTCCTACTGCTGATGCAAATACACACTAAAATTTAAAAAAAAAAAAAAAAAAAAAAACTGGAAAAAAAGGTTAAACTAAATTTTTTTAGAAAAATCTTGCGAACGTTCCCATTAAATTCTTGAAAAGACACCTTTAAAATTTTCTCGCTCACAAAAAAAATTACATAATAACGCCAACAACAATTTTAGTACAGGTATATGTTTTCGTGTGTGTAGTAGTTTAGCTGCGTTTTGTTTGGGGCGCGCTCTCTCGCGTGGCGCCTGTGTAGCACCTTACATTTCTTCGGCCTGACTTGTTTGGTAAAAGCGGTCCGATGAAGCCGACTTCTCCACTCACACTCTCTAACACACCGACACCGACACACACACACACACACACACACACACACACACACACACACACACACACACACACACACACACACACACACACACACACACACACACACACACACACTGGACACGCGCCGGCTCAGCTGATGTTTGGGCAGGTTCAGGTTGGTGGGGCCACGACGGGCCACGACCACGAAGGCCCCACCAGCCCCGCCAGCCCCGCCCTGTCGGCCCTGTCCCGCTAGGCGCAGCCCGCGCAGCCCGTCTCCCTCCACGGCCCCACCGACCGCAAGAGTGCGAGAGAGACAGACGGCCCGCTCCGCTGCCCCGCTCTCGGGTGCCGGACAATGCCAACGTAATCACGCAGGCCGGTCTTCAGGTTCCTTCGATAGCTCAGTTGGTAGAGCGGTGGACTGTAGAGGCGAGGCAAGCGGGCATCCATAGGTCGCTGGTTCAAATCCGGCTCGAAGGATTCTCTTTTACTGAAGGCATCTTTCTCGTATGTTGGTATGGGAATGGGATCCCACTCAATGTTTCTCATGTTCCTTCGATAGCTCAGTTGGTAGAGCGGTGGACTGTAGACGGCAGGTGTAGCAGGCATCCATAGGTCGCTGGTTCAAATCCGGCTCGAAGGATTCTGTTTTTAAATTGAAAATTTTGAATGTAATTTAAAAAAAAATTGAATTAAAAATTTGTATTGAAAAAAAAATTTGGGACGCAGTGGTCTGAATTATTAATCCGAGCCCTGCTTCAATTCTGCTCCATTATTTCACACCAAGATTTTAATTTTTTAGCAGATGATACGTTCACGTATCAGCGTGCTTGTACGCTCGTGCAGAGAGTACCGAGTTTCCAGCTAGCCAGGCAGCAGTTGCCTCGTTGCCTGACTAGCAAGCCTAGAAGAGGCCGAGCGCCTCGCTGGCAAGGCAGCGGCTGGCTGGCCTGCCTAGAAGATTATGAGCGGAGGGCCCGCAGCGTGCCGCACCGCGCCGCGCCGTACCGCGCGCCGCTCATGGAATCGGGGCGCCTGCGGGGCTCGGGTTGCGCGCGCGGTGTATAACCTCGACACCCAGCTCTCTAGTACTCATGAAGTGCGTCCCTCGCGTTGCGCGTCGTTACGAGACGCTGCTAGCACGCATCGCGTAGCTGCCCCCCTCGCCCATTCCCTTGCCGAGACGCCACGTCCCGCCGCGCCCCGCCACACCCCGCAGCAGTCTACACACACACGCACTTGAGCCTTGAGTGCGTAGAACGCATGGCGCAGCGGCCCCCCCCCCTACCCCCCCGGAACCCCTGCCCCTCTTGAGAAGCGGCGCGTCGGCAGTGTGCGCCACTCTTGCTTATCTATCTTGAGGTCGGGTTCGGGTGGCGCGCCGGCCGGCCGGGCCCCGCTTGGAGATGTGGCTGACACGCCGCGTGCCGCAAGGCGCCTTGCCCTAGTACCGAACACATCTTTTATGGGTATTGAGTATTTATGTGATTAGCCACCAAATTGTGCATCCTCGCGTTTAAACAACGAAAATGATACCCAACACAAGTGGTATCGGACATATGAGTGTCCCACCGTCATTGCGAACATGGCACGTTAGGATATTCAAAAGTTATACTAAAATTGACATTTTTATGAATTACCATGCGTAAGAAATTTGTCAAAAAAAGAGTTCCGAGTGTTTACTCTTTGAAAGAAATTGACAAAATGTCACATTCATACATTTCAATAAACCTTCTCATAAGTATCATCTGCTTTCACGTTAGCGTTAGCGTTAACGTTTTTTCAAATTTTGCTCGCCGAAGGGAATTTTTGTACTGTACCATCCTATTACACGAGCATTGAGTGTGAGGCTCGACTCGTCCGGCAGTCGAATCATGTCGCTATCTCTGCCATTCCGCACTGATATCGTTTATCGACTCGCATGATCCCCCCCCCCCCCTCTGTGGCGCCAAAGAGTAGCATTTTCTCGTTTGGAGCCGAGTGGGGCCTCCTCAGCGTGCTGACGTGACCTTTGCCAAAGGCCGGCCGTCTGGAGACTCCAGCACACACACATACACACACACACAGGCGGAGCGTGCAATGCATATCCCTTACACGGGAGGACACTACACTGGTACATGCACTACCGTCCTTGGCCCAATACCCGTTTGCCTCTGTGCCTCATGATGCGGGTGCCTCCCCGCACGCCGCCCCGCCCTGCTCAGCTGGCCGGCGCCCCGCCCCGCCCCACTCTGCGCGTGCATTGCCCCCGGTGGGCGACGCGGGCCCCCGCGGCCGCAGAGCCGACTCGTTTCGGCCGAGTGTGTCCGCTCCCTTTCGCCGTGTCATTCATCAGGTTTCCGTAGTGTAGTGGTTATCACGTGTGCTTCACACGCACAAGGTCCCCGGTTCGATCCCGGGCGGAAACATCACTATTGTTGCTGTGCACTGTTTTGTTCGGGGACAACAACGTGGAACGTCACTTTGAATTTTTTGAATTTTGTCTTGGATCATACTGAATTTTTGTGGTCGTTTCTTTTGCTATTTAATTTCCATGAGCTCGAAATAAAGAAGCAGGGTGTTCCTACCCCCAAATAAAGTGCAAAGCTGTCCCCGCGTTCTGCACTTTTGCTGCCGGCTGGCTTGTCCCGCCTCCCCGCCCCTCCCCTCCGCCCCCTCCCCTCCTCTGCCGGTGCCTCGGCGGCCGCCACGCCCCCTCCCTCCGTTCCCGCGGAATGTGAAGCGGCGCGACGCTCCCTTCGCTCAGCGTATCCGATATGGTCTAGTGGCTAGGATACCTGGCTCTCACCCAGGAGGCTCGGGTTCGATTCCCGGTATCGGAACTTTTTTTTCGCGGATGTCTTTTCCGTCTCTACATTGTATGCCTGGGGATAGGCTCGGCAGCTCCGATAAGATTGGCTGGCGATCAAGTGGCTCGCAATCGCGGCACACTTCTTGACGTCAGTCCCGGGTTCGAACACGGTCTTTCCTGTTGCCTTTTTTTTCGCTCCCTCCGTCGCGATTTGCGTTGCGGCGGCGGGGCGGCGCTCTGGTTGCGTCTCGTTCCCCCTCATGCATGCAGTGAAAGTGAACGACTTGACGGAGTGCAGCCACTGCAGTGGCCGCGCCTGCCCGGTGATTGTCTTGTTTTTATTTTTTCCGTTTTTCGCGTTTTGACGCGTTTACGCCTTAATCCGCGCCTTAATCGGTTCGCAATCGCGAGCGAAGTGGCAGGATCGCAATGCTGGTGATAGAGGCAGCCACTTACAGTGCGGGAGCGTGAGATTGCGGATTCTGATTCATTTCGTTGTAGGTCTGTGTGTGCACTGTAGGACAGCAAGTTTTTTTTACAGTGGTCGTGTTTGCTTGCCTCCAGATTCGGCGCTTCCGCAGCCCGCCCCCGCCGACGCCGACGCCCCCCGTCAAGATGGCGACGGCCTTCCGGATGCAGCCGGCGCCGCCGCGGTGGAGGCGCGCCGTCGGCAGCCCCCTGGGGTCGCCGATGACGTCCACGCCGGGCAGCCCTGTGGTGGGCAGCCTGTGGGGGCCCACCAGGACGACCAGCTCTCCGAGGACGCACCCCCACCCGCACCCGCGGCCCGGCACCGCGCCCCCCGGGCCGCCCAGGGGCCCGCCCACCCCCACCGAGACGGACGAGGAGTACGTCGAGCTGTACCAGGACCGCATCCTAGAGGCGCAGGCCAGCCAGCTGTACCCGCTCATGGAGGACCTCGCCGACTGGCTCAACAAGACCCTCTGTGAGTCCCTCTTCTTTGTTCTCGAACCGAGCGTGTGACCCCACCGATGGATTCCTCGTCCGGAGAGCAATCCATTGGTGGGGTCACACGTTCGGTTCGAGTCCCATTTAGCGACGCTGGAGCTCAAAACGCGTCCGGGATTTTGTGACCGCCTCCACCGGTCTTCTGACCCACTGCGCTACCCTTGCCTTGGACCACCAAATTGAGATGGAGTTCCCGTTTGGGATGTGATGGTCCGCGGAGTCCGTGATTTTGGCCAACTGCCAGCGAAACTCTGACAACCGGCAATCCGATTGGCGCGTAGTTTCCAGTGGCGTCGCCCTGTCCACTGCACCAAAACACTGCAAAGCTTAAACAAACTTCAAAGTTTTAAAAAAAACCCTGCAAAGATTAAAAAAAAAAAAACGCAAAGTTTTAAAAACTGCAAAGTTAAAAAAAAAACTGCGAAGTTTTTAAAGAAAACTGCAAAGTTAAAAAAAAAGAACTGCACAGTTAAAAAAACTGCAAAGTTTTAAAATAATCTGCAAGGCTTCAAGAAAAATTTGCAAGGCTTAAAAAAAGAAAAAGAACTGCAAATAAACTGCAGTTTCAAAAATAAACTGCCTTCCAAAAATACAAAAATTGCTGAAGTCTAAGTTTTATCTGGCTGTCGACCGATAATCTTTCTGATTTTACACTCTGTCCAAATTTTTATCAGTATTTGTCCTTTACCTTTTCTATGTTCTTAATCTCGTTGTTCTACCCGCCGCTATACACCTTTTGGGCTTCGTGTCACTTTGGTGGTGTGTCACTTCGAATCAGGCAATGGCTTGCAGCAGGTGTGCTGTGGTCGGGGCCCAAGCAAAGGGCCAAGCAAAGGGCCAAGCCATAAGCCTCGCGCGAAGCGAGACACCAAAGTGAACGGGGCCTCAACTTGTGACCCTCGTGTTACATATACATTATGGAACGTGTCGGGGAGGTAGCCGGAAGTGACTCAATTACAATAGCCGGCGTGGCTTTCGTGGGAAAGTTTACGGTAAGGCCCGATCACGATTCCTTGTTTTGCTGATCGATATACAGCAGCATATATGTGGGTGTGTTCCAGTGTGCTCGCGCGCGCCGCTCCGAGCCCCGAGGGGGGGGGGGAGTGAAAGGGAATCCCGACGACGAGAGACGCGGTAAAATGTCGCAAGAACCGCGAATAAGCCGACAGGCCGTTAGCACCGCCAAGGGCATCTCGTGTGTGTGTGAGTGTGTGTGTGTGTGTGTGTGTGAGTGAGTGTGTGTGTGTGTGTGTGTGTGAGTGCCCTACTGCGATTAATTGCCAGGGGGAAATTGTTGGGAGGGAGCGGTCTGGGCTTCTATCTTGGTGGCACATCGGCCGTCAGGAAGGGTTGCCTGCCTGCCTGCTGCCTTGCCATAAGTGCCGCATTGCTTGGCCACAACTCGCATCACTCTCTGGACCGCGTCTCATCCCTCGTCTCACCGGTACTTTTGCCCGACCAGAAAAGGTATTCCATTTTTTTTTAGAGGACAGCTTATATAGTACCACAACGTGGATGTTTTTCAAGGAAGGGAGAGGGGAGGTACACGCTTCATTGCGGCCTGCTTATTCATCGCTCAATGTTATGTTTTTAAGTCAAACTTGTCAAATTTTCCTCTTTCTCTCGACCTCAGACCTTTTTTAAACTAGTCAATTTTTTCCCGCGTCTAAACGCTGTTTTTCTGGCACCCGGTACGTGGCACCCCTTCGGCTGCTTCCGGCCCTTTCGTCTCGGCTGTCTGTCTCTCTCGCACCCGCACGGCACGCCCCACGAGTGCGAGAGAGAGAGGGAGAGAGAGAGGCCGAGGCTTGGCCCCTCCAGGGGTGCCGGGGCGTGGCGTTGCGTGGCGCCGTGACAAGTCCAGGCCCTCGGCCAGGCCGCTCACGCCCCCACTCTGTCTCTCTCGCTCCCTCACGGCACGCCCCACGAGTGCGACGGAGACGGCGTGACGCCGACAAGCTTCCCAGGGAAATCGAATCGCCACAATGGCGTCGATAGCCATCGCGATGGCCACTGTAAGCTCGGCGTTAAAAAATGAAAAAAAAACAAAAACAACACTCTGCCTGGGGCTGCATCGCGTAATCGGAATGCAACACCGAATTTCTCCCTGCGGTGTGGTGACCATAGGGACCCTCTCTGTGAGAGATGGGTCAGGCTGGCGGCCTCCAGCCAATCACAGACCTCGGGTGTAAATGGGCCCGACGCCGACCAGATCTGCCATGTGCGAGACTAGGGGTCCCCCCAACTCAGGTATCCGCAGACGAATTGTTTATGGCCCCCAGCCGGAGTGCTAGCCTCTTGAAGGGGAGCTTCTTGCCCATTTACACCCGAGGACCTGTGACGTCAGCTCTGTCCCATCTCTCACAGAGAGGGTCCCTAGGTGACCACCATCAGCACGCCGATGCACACTGCAGGTATTTCCGTCGACGGATCAAGATTTTTCCCGAGGTTTTTTTTTCGCGAGTTGATTTGTAGAGCGAAGCTCTGGTGGTCGATCGTCCAGGTCGGTGTATGACTCTCGATTAATGAGCAGATAGCCGGCAATTTCGAGCTGTTTGCACTTGCAGGGCGTGGCGTGGTGGGAACGGCCAGGTAATTGAACTGTTCCCGATGGTGTGTGCATGAGCGGGCAGACAGACGGGCCGAGATGAAACGCTTGTTATGATTCGCCGAGGAGACTCCAGCGATGTGTGTCGCAGCTGCTGCAGCTGCACTGCGAAATGGCGAAATGGCCGTCGCGACACTGGAACGCCGGCAATACTTTCACTCAAGTGTCACGACACAACAATAGATTGTATTGTGGAGAGCGGCGTGGTGTTTAGGACGCTCGGGTCAGGCCGCGTCGTTCCCACCTGTTCCACGACCACGGTCGTTATCCGACGCAAAGCCATTTCCGAGACAGTGTAAAAGTGACACGGCCTGGCCACTGCGATGAGCAAGAGCAAATAGCAGTGTGTCAAGTGGCGAAAACTGAGCCGCTGCGCCGCGCAAAATGTCTGTCAGAAGTGGGATTCGAACCCACGCCCACAGAAGTGGACTGCGACCTGAACGCAGCGCCTTAGACCGCTCGGCCATCCTGACTGATGGGAGAGGGCCGCGTGTGCGACGGTAGCCAAGCCAGGCGGCCCGTGCCGCTGTGTGACGCATCTCCCCCACTCTCGGGCGGGCGTCCCCCTCCACTGGGCCCAGCCAGCGCCGCGCCGAGTGGGAAGCGACCGTCTCTCTCGCACTCACGGGCAGCGCCCGGCCGGGCGCGGCGCCAGAGAGGAGGAGAGGGCCGGAGGAGGCGATCAAGAGTTGGAGGAAGGTGGATGGCGACGCTTCGCTCTGGATTCGAGCGGCAGCAATTTTCATGGAATGTGGGAGTTGTCAACGGGGTAAAAAGTGGTTGGCCGAAGCGCGGCGGCGCGGCGAAGGAGGTGACTGACTCTGCGAAAGTGGAACTTCCAACGCCCTAGGAAGAGTTGCCTTGAAAATTCGTGTCCAAAGGGTCCCAGTGGCGTGGAGTTTCAAACCACTTCGTTCAATACGTATGAAAAATTTTAAATCTTTTTTGAAAAACGAGGGGATTGAATTTAAAAGTTTTTAATGTCATGATTGGAAATTGGAAGCTCGACAAATCCAGAACTTTAGCTACGGAAACGGGGCAGAGTAATAACCGTTGTGAGTCATCTCCCTCAGCTTTTCGGCCATAGTTTATCCCCCGCGACTTTTCTCGAGAGGTACTATACTTGGGCGTTGGCCGCCGTTGAGTCATTTTGCTGGCTCCTTGCCTGCAGCGACCCTCCCCCTCCCCTTTTCCACATCCCCGGGCCCGTTCGCTTGATTTACGCAACCCCTTCGCTACCCCTTGTGCACTACCCCTGCTGCAGCCAGGAGCAACGACCCCTACACTGTACGGCTTCGTCGGGGCGGTGTGTGTGTGTGTGTGTGTGTGTGTGTGTGTGTGTGTGTGTGTGTGTGTGTCCGTGTGTCCGTGTTTAGCGTTTTCGGAATTATCAGCTTGAAGCCCGAAATACGACGGTGCGTACACGGACACGCAAGGGCCCAAGGGTTGCGAGGGTGGTGAGGTGCATGGCACGAGGGTGGCGTGGCAGGGCCTCCCCGGCGGGGGCCTCGGTGGGGGGCGCCGCCCCACCACTGCGAGGGCCGTGTGCCCACCACCGTAGGAATGGCAATGGAACATTTTTACCCGGCAGACTGATGTGCAATATGCCTGTGGTGGGCGGAGGCAAGCACCAACAGGCACCACCAGGTCGCCCAGAGATCCAGAAGGCCACCCCCGACCCCACGACCCCCCTGAGGGGTCGGGGCAAGCCTGCACCATCCCCTGCGTAAGGGCCCTCGCCATGTGGCTTGCTTGCTTGCCTTCGTACAGCCCACTGCCACGCGATGCAGTGGCGGGTGGAGTACCGGTGTTGCCACATAAGTACGCAAAAAACTGCCGCGCTCTACCAATGTCTCTCGAACTGAACGTTGTGACCCCACCAATGGATTCCTCTTTCGGAGAGCGATCCATTGGTGGGGGTCACACGTCTAGTTTGAACCCCATTTGGCGACTGTGGAGCTCAAAACGCGTCCGGGATTTTGGCCGCCTCCACCGGTCTTCTGCCCCTCACCTCGTCACCTTGCGAAGCGTCATGTACGAACCCACTCCGCCAAAGTACAAGCGCATTGTTTGCTGTTTTTGTCGTTTTAGCTACATCCAATGACGTCAACGCAGCGATTCTGCGCGGGCATTGCCTCGTCTGTCCTTCCGTCCGACTGCCCACGCCACGCCGTCGCCGCGGTGGTTCACACCCACACTGCCCTCCAAACAAGGCACCACCTCATCAATGCACTGTCACCGCCGCGTTCAAAGGCGCCGCCTACGAATTTCTCATCCTCCACGCGAAGAGTCTGTGAGGCAGGACTAGACTATGAGAAATTCTGCGCGCACGGTTCTCCCTTTATTTTGTTACGGAAACCGGAAGCGAA